TATATATATATATATAGTCTGTTTGGGTATCCTTTTATTTTGGGTACCCTAAGGATTTTTAGAAACTCATTTGGCTGAGGGTATTTTGTCTTGTGAATAAGTATTTATCAAATTTGCAGCATTTGACGAATGATGGCATTATTTTGTGCCCTTGTGTCTTTGTCTAGTATGACTGTTTTAAGGAATTTGAAGCTCATTTGTGGAAAGATAGTACAATTAATTACAATAAATTGATATGCATTACCTAAAGGGATACTGGAATACCTAATAATAGATAGTTTTAGGTGAAGTGGCCTGTTGTTCATTCCAAATCCTTTTTCTCTTTATTTTCCCAGGAGGTTCCTGGGGCCTGGCCCCCAACACTATGAAGAACCCTTGCTGAGGCCATGAGGGGTTACCATGGCGACCGCGGTAGCCATCCCCGCCCAGCCCGCTTTGCCGACCAGCAGCATATGGACGTGGGCTCAGCTTCCAGGGCCCCGTACCTGCTGGGCTCCGGGGAGGCCTTCTCCACCGAGCCCCGCTTCTGTGCCCCGAGAGCTGGCCTGGGACACCTTTCTCCTGAAGGGCCCCTGAGCCTGAGTGAAGGGCCATCAGTAGGCCCTGAGGGAGGGCCAGGGGGGGCCGGGGTTGGGGGGGGGAGCAGCACCTTCCCCAGGATGTACCCCGGCCAGGGCCCCTTTGACACTTGTGAAGACTGTGTGGGCCACCCTCAGGGCAAGGGTGCCCCCCGCCTGCCTTCTACACTCCTGGACCAGTTTGAAAAGCAGTTGCCAGTTCAACAAGATGGCTTCCACACACTCCCATACCAGCGAGGTCCAGCAGGGGCCGGGCCCGGGTCAGGGCCAGCGTCTGGCACTGCCCCGGAAGCCCGCAGCGAGAGCCCCAGCCGCATCCGGCACCTGGTTCACTCTGTGCAGAAGCTCTTCGCCAAGTCCCACTCTTTGGAGGCCCCAGGGAAGCGGGACTATAATGGGCCCAAGGCTGAGGGAAGAGGTGGCTCTGGAGGAGACAGCTACCCCGGCCCGGGCTCTGGAGGCCCCCACACCTCCCACCACCACCATCACCACCACCACCACCACCACCACCAGTCCCGGCACGGCAAGAGGAGCAAGAGCAAGGACCGCAAGGGGGACGGGCGGCACCAGTCCAAGGCCGCTGGCTGGTGGAGCTCTGATGACAACTTGGACAGCGATAGTGGCTTCCTAGCGGGTGGGCGGCCCCCTGGGGAGCCTGGTGGTCCCTTCTGCCTGGAGGCTCCAGATGGGTCCTACCGGGACTTGAGCTTCAAGGGGCGCTCGGGCGGGTCGGAAGGCCGCTGTCTCGCCTGCACTGGCATGTCCATGTCACTGGATGGACAATCGGTCAAGCGAAGTGCCTGGCACACCATGATGGTCAGCCAGGGCCGGGATGGATACCCAGGGGCTGGGCCAGGCAAGGGACTCCTGGGTCCGGAGGCCAAGGCCAAAGCCAGGACTTATCACTATCTGCAGGTGAGGCTATGGTGGGGGTGGGGAACAGGGTCCTCAGTCCTCATTGAGGTTGTCACCCGGGGAGCTATCAAAGGGGTTGGATGGGAGTCAGTTGTCCCTATGATGGAGGCCTGGAGGCAGGGAGGTTCTGCCTGGCCTCACTGTGTCACCTCGAGCCCCTTTTGGGATCTCGGTTTCCCCATTTGTACAACGAAGAGGCCCTTCTATTCTGACATATGTCACTGCCAGGAAGACCTCCCTTCGACCTGCTGTTTGGACAAGCTGTGCTGGCCTCTGTCTCATGAGCTCGGAGGCAGAATGAGGTTGAGGGTAGGCAGTGGACAGGACAGTGTGGTACTCCCTGGCAGTTGCTTCCCTTGAGATTAGAGGTCAGCAGTTGGAAAGCAGTTCTCCTGCCCCCAGGCCTTCTCCAGACCTCTTTTCTGCTCAGATCTGGGTGGTCCAGATACTGTTTGAATATGAAGGTCAGTTATTTCCAGAATGTGCCTGTGCTGGGGTTTGTCATTCTGGGGTGCCTGCAGTAGGACACCACAAGGCTGTGGAAGAGCCTTGGGAGCCTGTCCTGTGGGTTTTCCTAGGCTGGGGACACACTGAAGTCTGAGACCCAGATACAACACCAGGGCAGGGCTTCTAGGGAGTGGATTGTGCCCATGATAGTTGGCATGCTGTCTCCATCCTGTCTCACCACTTGTGTGGCCTCTGCAGGTGAGGCGAGGAGTTCTGACTCCTCCTTATGGAGCCCTTATCCATCCCACACTGTCCCCTCTCCATCTTCTCACTGAGGTGGGATCGGGTTCTTCTCACCATCTTCTCTCTCAACCTTCCTTTTCTCTGCCTCAGGATGCTCTCCCATACCCCTCATACCCCTGGCTTGCTTTTTTTTTTTTTTTTTAAGTTTCATTTATTTTATAATCTCTATGCCCAACATGGGGCTTGAACTCATGACCCCGAGATCAAGAGTCACATGTTTTTCCTACTGAGCCAGCCAGCCAAACCCCCCACCCCACCCCACCCTGGACTTACTTTCTTGAGGCCTCCCATGAGTTTAGGAGGAAAAGTCATTACAAGGTCTGGAAGTCCAGCAGACTTAGAGTTATCCCCCAAACCCACATTCCATGTGTTTAATCCACAGTCATTCATTCAGTGAGCTTTCCTGGGTGCTGTGGATATAAAGACGAAGACACAGACGCTGTTTGTGAGGAGCCCACAGGGTCGAGGTGGGATTGACAAGGAAGCAGGTAGAATAGAGTGATGAGGCTGTGATAGCACAGAGCCCGAGGCACCGTGGGGGCACAGAGGGGGCACCTCACCCACCTGGGGTGGTGGTGGCCAGGGGACTGCTCAGAGCAGCTTCGGGGGAGGATGGCCCCTGAGCTGAATCCTGGTGGAGCTGGAGTTGGTCGAATGCAGAAGAGGATTAAGGGTCTTCCAGGAAGAGGCTACAGCTTGTTCAGAGGTACAGAGAATTGACCTTGCATGTGTCTTTTGGGTGTCCCTGGCCTTGCTGGTAAGTTCTTCACACGTTAGGGCTCTTCTGGGTGGAGAACTTACAAGAGCTCAAGGGAAAGCAAGAAGGGGGGGGGGGTGGCAGACAGTAGGGAAGGTTAGAAACTTCTCGGATTCAGGACTTCTGGGTTGTCCTTGAATTGCCCCTTTCCTGGGTAGAGAGGTCCTCTAAGTTGGGATTTGAAGGGTCCAGCAGAAAGGGCCAAGGAGGGAACACCAGCCCTTCTTCTGCTATAACTGAGCCCTGGCTGTCCCTGGAGCTTCACTGCCACTCTGCTGCCTCCTGCTGCTTCTCCAGGGCTGCCCTGACCTCTCTGGGGGCTTCCTTTTTAACATGCACCTCACAGTGTCCTGCAGAGGAGCGAGGAGCTGCAGTGGCTGTGGAGTGGGAGCCCTGCAGTGTGGCAGAGAGTGCCCTGGCTATCCCATCTGCTGGCCTGTCTCTCTCTGCTTGCTTGTGGCTCCTCTCTGTAGAGTGCAAGGACGGGAATGATTCCTTGGGGCCTGGGGTTCTAAGACATCTGAGGATTGCAAAGTCAGAGCCTGTTTGGGGGAGAACTAACAGATTGCAGGGACCTTGCACAAAAGCAAGGGAAGCTGGCCCCATCAGACCAGGTGTCTTTGTTGGATCCTTAACCCTTTTGTTGAGACCCTATTTCTCCCACTGGACCTCAGCTCTCCCTCAACCCTCTTTTGAACCCCTCTTTGTCCTCAGAGCCCTTGTTCCTTTATGTTCCTCCCTGCGTTACCCTCTTCTGATTGAGTTCCAGCATCTTCACTGAGCCCTGCTCCTCCTGGTGGGTTACTTCCATCCTGGGAACCCATTCCGTCCCTGGGTCTCTGTTCTCATATTTATCTCTGTCCCTTCACCTAGCCTCACCCCCCAGAGTCTCTGTCCCTCCCCTGAACCCTATGCTGTCCCTGAATATTGACCTTCTTAGTTTCCATCCTCACCCCATTCAACCTGTTTCTTACAACAGGTGTTCGAAATCTTCCTTGCCTGCCCCAGCCCTCTCCCCCACGCCTCTATACGTCATTCTTCCTAGTGTAGGCCAACCATCACAGGTTCCCTCACCTTCCTGTCAGCCACCTACGGATTCGTCTAGATCCCCAGCCACCCCCATTGCCTTCCTTCTTGGCTCAGAGAAAAAGCCAAGACCACTCACCCAGACTGATCCCTCCAGCAGGGTTTGAGCCCATCTCCCCGGGATCCCCTCTATCCCTGAATTGACTGCCCCTTCTCCATCCTACATTTAAAGGCTAGCTTTGTCTTTACTGGCTCTTTCTCTTATTCTGAAAACATGCCCAAGTCTCTCATCCTACAAAATCTTCAACTCCGTACCCCCTTCTGTCTACTGTCTTCTCTTCATACCCAAGTTCTTAAAGCATAGGTTCTACACCTTCACTTCCTTTTATTCTCCCTTTATTACAGTCTGACATCCACATCCCCTGTCCTCTAAAATGTTCTGGCATTGGTCCCCAGTAGTCTCTTGAAAGCTCTCCTTGAAAGGCACTTTTCAAAGCTTATAATAATAATAGCTAACATTTACTGAGGACTTACTATGTGCTGGGCATGTCATATTGACTTATTTATCCTTCCCACCAACCCTGGGATGTAGACATAATTGTCATTACTGATTCATAGATGAGGAAACTGAGAGAGTAATCAGTTTTGCCCAAGTTTGCCTAGCAAGTGATGGGGCGAGATTTTGAACATGGATTTTAACTCCTCAGCCCGAATTACTAACCTCTCAATGCACTGTGGCATTTGACATTATCAACTCCTTTTATTCTGGAAATGTCTCCCGTTTCCATGACATGGCATTCTCCTGACTTCCCTCCTACCCCTCTGCCCACTCCTTCTCAGGTGACTTCATAGGCTTTTCTTCCTTTCTTTGCAGTCCCCTTTTTAAATGTCAGTGAATCCCTCCCCAGCTCTCTTTCTTCTTTCCCCTGGGCTGTTTCATTCACCCCTATGGATTCAGCTGCCGCCCATGACTCCCACGTGTCTGCCTCCAACCCAGATTTCTCCAGTGAACTCCAGAACTGAACATCCAACCACCTGCTCAGCAGTTCTCTGCCAGACTTAAGATGCTCAACCCTGACCTATCACCTCTTCCCCAAACCTGCTTCTCTGGGATTCTGTGGCTCAGTGAACGACAGCACCATCCCCCAGGTCCTCAGCCAGCAGCCTCCCAGTCATCTGTGACTCCTCCCAGCGCACCCCCCACCACCCCCTCACCCCCTACATCTAATCAGGCTCACTGATGCTCCTTAACACCTCATTTCCATCTCCTCGTCCCCCTCATTGTCATGGTCTTAATTTAGGCTCATCATCTCTTGCCTGGCTAACAGCATAAGCCTTTTAATTGGTCTCCCTCCTGCCACTCGATCCCCTGCCCTTCTCCCAGCGCTACACAGTGCATCCCCCCTTTGGACTGTCAGAGTGCTCTTTCTGAACCAAATTTGATGGCACTTCCCTGCTTAGAGCCCTCTGTGACTCCTCAGAGAGGGAAGGAGGGAGAGTTGGGGGATTTAGGATGTCAGCAGGTTAAGAGAAGGAAGGAGCAGGAGGGGTGAAAGGTGAGGGCAGGTGATACTTCACTGCGGGGGGTGGGTCAACACAGGTCACTTTGGCCTCCGATCTTCAACCTCTTGGCACTTGGCATATCACCTCCAAGACTCCATAGGTGGCCCTCAATTAAGTAGTAAAAGGTCCATGGAGGATGATGAGGCATCTCCTGTAAGGGAGGGGACAGCTGAAACCTTACCTTCCGGCTCCGCTTCTGCATGCCCCTGAGCATGGCCTGCTCCAGCTAGCAGAGCGCCCCGGCAATGGGGATAGAGGGTTCTGGCTTCTAGATTTCATAGGGACGTGTCTGAGAGACAGAAGCCCCTGTCCCTGCAGGTGCCGCAAGATGACTGGGGGGGTTACCCCACTGGGGGCAAGGATGGGGAGATCCCCTGCCGCAGGATGCGGAGCGGCAGCTACATCAAAGCCATGGGGGATGAGGAGAGTGGAGACTCAGAAGGCAGCCCCAAGACGTCCCCCAAAGCAGTCGCCCGGCGCTTCACCTCCCGCCGCTCCTCCAGCGTGGACCAGGCCCGGATCAAGTAAGGACAGGGAGGGCTGGGGGCGGAGAGTGGGAAGCTGATGCTGGGTCCCTGCAGGAGATGTGCACCAGAGGGGTTCCCTGCCTAGGATTCGACTGGGGGAGTCTCGCTTTGCCCCACAGAAAGAGGGGGTCCCTCGTGAGATAGTGCCTCTCTGAGTGCCTCTTTAGGAGAGTCTCTTCACTCAGGAGTCTCCTGGGAGGATCCCTGTCTGGGGGTTTCTGAGGTATAGAACCTGCTCAGAGGCCCCAGTGCTATTATTCCCCCTTCTGGCAGACCCCCATTCTGAATCTGGAATTTTGACCTTTCCCAGCTGCTGTGTCCCACCCCGGATCCATCCCCGGAGCTCCATCCCTGGCTACAGCCGTTCCCTCACCACCGGACAGGTAGGGATGGTCCAGCACACCTGAAGGAAAGGGTGGGAAGGAAGCGGGGTGGGGTCAGTCCCATACTCAGCCTATGCCTGAAAATCAGAGGTCTGCCCATGGAGAGAGCCCAGGTCTGGTTCTGGGGGCAGCTGGGAGGCCTTGGGACTCCTGGATCTGACTCAGCCTGGGGGGTCTCAGTCACATCCTTCAAAACCACCGAGGGGCCTCTAAGTGATGAGTTTGCAGAGGCAACATCAGTTTTCTGAGGTTTTCCAGTCCTGTCATGGCCTGATTACTCCCAGTTCGCCCCATGCAAAAGGCAGGCTTGATTGTGCAGATGGTACAGGGATAGGCAGAGCTGTGGTCTGAGAGATGGCCTGTGCTTGAGTTCTCTCCCTGCCACTCCAACCATTGGAAGACATGGCAACGCCTCTGTTTTCTCACCTTTAAAATGACAGTAGTAGTGATATTTATCTCAGGGGCTTTGTGAGAGTTCCGTGAGAAAATGTATGCAAACACAAGGTACCTGGCTCCAAAGTGGTACTTTATAAATGTGAGTTCCATCCCTAAGTGTAGACTTTCCCCTTAGCTAAGCAGAGGCGGTGCAGTTTAGTAATTACATGTATGGCATGAATTGGAATTCTAGCTCAGCTCCTTACCAGCCGAGTGACCTGGGGCAAGTTACTTGACTTTTTTGAGCCCCACTTTCTCTATTTAAAAATAGGCATCATAATAGTGGTCGTGGCACATAGCCAGCACTCAGTAAAGGTTAGCTATTTTTACTGTTTGCCAGGGAAAAAAGAGCAATGCAAAAAAGCAGTGCAGAAGAATGTCCACATTGGCTCCTATTGTTTGCTGCTGAGGTCTTTGTTACATTTCCTGAATCAGGGAATCTGATTGGCACAGCTGTTGTTTCTCATCAGACTAGCCTATGTTGCTCAACCCACTAGTTCAATGCTCAGTCCTCATTTTACTTGACCCATCAGCAGCATCTAACACAGATGAGGACTTTTGCCTTCCTGAAACACCTCAGTCAGTTGGCTTTGAGGACACCATACCTTTTAGGTTCTCCTAGATTCTCTCTGGCTGCTGACGCTTGGTCTTGCCACCAGTGCCTCTCCAACTCGCCAGGATCTGAACACTGGATTTTTTTCAGGGCTTAGTTTCTGGACTTCTCTCTACACTCACTCCTTAAGTGAGCTCATTTAGGCTCATGGCTTTGAATATTACTTTATTAAAATTTTTAAAAATGTTTATTTGTTTTTGAAAGAGAGAGAGAGAGAGAGAGAGAGAGAGAGAGAGAGAGAGAGCGCGCAGGGGAGGGGCAGAGAGAGAGGGAGACACAGAATCCAAAGCAGGCTCCAGGCTCTGAGCTGTCAGCACAGAGCCCGATGCGGTGCTTAAACCCACGAACCATGAAATCCTGACCTGAGCCAAAGTCAGATCCTTAACCAACTGAGCCACCCAGGCGCCCTGGCTCTGAATATTATTGAGGGCCTGGTGACTTCCAAATGTGTATCTCCAGCCCCAGTCCTCTCATAATTGCTGGGCATGTGTGTCTAACTGTGTACTGAAATCTCACTTGGATGTTTAGTAGACATTTCAAATTTAAGATATCCACAACAAAACTGCTAGTACCCTTACCCCATTCCCCCTACCTCCCCAAACGTACTCCTCCGTCCACTGTCATCTCTGTTTCAGGTAATGACAACTTTACCCTTTTAGGAGTTCTGATCTAAAAGCCTGAAGTCAGTCTTGACTCCTTTCTCTGTCTCACATGCCCCATCCAAGCTTTCAGCAAACCTTGTTGGTCCCATCTTCAAGTATATCCAGGACCAAAGCACTTCTCACCTCCGATGCCACCACTCCAGCCTAAGTCACCATGGCCTTTGTCTGGGCTTTGACACTGCCTCCTGAATGGTCTCCTGCACGTGCCCCTGCCCCACTTCATTCTCTCTCAGTACATCCCAGAGTGATCATTTCAAAATAGAATTACGTTCACTCAAAACCCTCACCTTACTCAGAGGACTTACAAGGCCCTGCACGATCTGTCCCTTGCTACCTGCGAATCCCGCTCCTAATGCTCCTCCGCCTGTCACCCGCTGCAGCCACAGTGGTCCTCTTGCTACCCTTCTGACACCACAGGTGTGCTCCAGCTTTTTGTCTCCTTATGTTTTAGGTAGGTCTTTTGTAAATAGTTTAAGGAATTTAGTTTATATCTATACTGACAATGGCTTGAGGGTTTGGTACATTTACATTTATTGTGGTTACTGATACACCTGTATCAATACAACAGTATTACTGCTGTTTCATTGTGTGCCTTCTATTTCTCCTGCCTTTTGAGTGATGCTTTTCTACTCCTTTCCTACCTTCTTTTGGATTAGTTTTCTTCTTCATTTTTCTTACTACCAAATCCCACACTGGTTTGGCAGTTCTATTTTCTATTTTCATTCTTTGTGGTCACTCTTATAATTTTCATGTGCATATTTGACTTAGCAAGGTCTAAATTTGACAATTTCTTCTTTCCTTAGGATACTTTAGTTTTGATGACCTCTTCCCTTCTTATTGTACATGTTGCCTGGTATTTTGTTCCATGTTCTTTTTACCTCTCCAAATTAGTCTTTATTATTGTCACATTAAAAATTTTTTTTAACATTTTATTTATTTTTGAGAGAGAGAGAGAGAGAGATTAAATGGAGGAGGGGCAGAGAGAGAGGGAGACAAAGAATCTGAAGCAGGCTCCAGGCTCGGAGCTGTCAGCACAGAGCCCGACGCAGGGTTTGAACTCTTGAACTGTGAAATCATGACCTGAGCTGAAGTTGGAGGCTTAACCGACTGAGCCACCCAGGTGCCCAAATTTTATGCTGTTAGTACTTGATTATATAGACTCATATCTTTAACCCCTCCCCCCATAACTTCTTACGTTTCATTCCTTCCTTTTAAATATTCTTTAGTTACAATAAATTACGTTTAAAAAAATAAAAAATAAATCTTCTTTAGTAATTTTTTCAGTGAATGTCTGTTAGTATAAAACTCTGCCTTAAACAAAAGATGTAGTCTGCCCTCGTTATTTAACATAAATTAGCTTATTATGGAATCTTAGGTCAACATTTATTTTCTCTCAGTGTTTTGAATGTATTCTTTTGTCATCTGTCTCCTCTTGTTGCTGTTGGGAAGTCTGCAATCAATCTAATTGTCTTTGTGCATAGTTTTTCATTTCTTTCTGATTGCTGTTGAGATCTTCTCTTTGATTTTGGTGTTCTGCAGTTTCATTGTAATATGTGTGTGTGCTCCCTGAATCTGAAGATTAATGTCATTCATCAAATCTGGAAAATTCTCTCATGGTTACTGTTTGTTGGTACATCTTTTTTCACATTTTACTTTCAACCTACTTGTGCTTCAAAAAAAAAAAAAATGCAATCTAACAATTACCACCTTTCGAATGAGGCTTTCTTGTTCATTCACATTTAATGTGATTATTGATATGGTTGGATTGTGTCATATGTCATTTTGGCTCCTCTGTTCTTTCTTTACTGTCTTCTCTTGTATTAAATGAATGTTTTAGTGAACCATTTTAATTTCTTTGTTATTAATTCCCTTTTACTATATTATTTGAGTTATTAGAATTGCTCAAGGAATTACAAAGTGTATCATAACTGATTAAAATCTAATTAATTCTGGTAAAAAAATTAATTCTGGTAATTCTGCTCCAATGTGTCTCTTTTTTCTCTCCTCTCTTTGTGCTGTTATTGTCATGTACCTTTCCTATGTATATGCTATAAACTAACAGTTATTATAAAGGAATGTTGGTATTATAAATAATAGCTTTGTGAAATTTTGCACCTTTTAAAGAAGTTAGGAGAAAAAATGAGAAAAACATATCTATAGAGTTTTTTATATTTGCCATTTCTGGTCCCCTTCATCTCTTCCTGTGGATTTGAGTTACCATGAGGTATCACTTCCCTTTAGCCTGAACAACTTCCATTGTTTCTTGTAAGATAGGTCTGCAACAAATTCTTCAGTCTATATGTATTTGGAAACATCTTTAATTTTACTCCATTTTTGAAGAATAATTTTGCTGAATATAGAATTCCTGGCTGACAGTTTTTATTTTATTTTTTAAATATTTTTTAACATTTATTTATTATTGAGGGACAGAGCATGAACATGGGAGGGGCAGAGAGAGGGGGAGACACAGAATCCGAAACAGGCTCCAGGCTCCGAGCTGTCAGCCCAGAGCCCGACGCGGGGCTTGAACTCACGAACCGTGAGATCATGACCTGAGCCGAAGTCGGACGCCTAACCGACTGAGCCACCCAGGGGCCCCAGTGGCTGACAGTTTTTAATTTCAACATTTTGAATATACCATTCCACTGCCTTTAGCGCTCATTGTTTCTGATGAAAAGCCCGTTGTTAATCATATTGTTGTTTTCTTGTATGTGATGAATTGTTTTTCCCTTGTGCTATTAAGATTTTCTCTTGGTTTTTGGCTTTCAACATTTTGACTGTAATGTATCTGGCTATGGATCCCTTTGTGTTTAACCTACTTTGAATTTGCTGAGCTTCTTTAATCTGCGGAATAATATTTTTCATAACATTTGGAAAGTTTTGAGCTGTTATTTCTTTGTTCCTTTTTCTTTCCCTTTCTCTCTTCTTCTTTTGGAATTCCCATTACATGTATACTGTTTTACTTGTTATTGTCCTGTAGGTCTCTGAAGTTCTGTTTATTTTTATTATTTTTTTCTCTCCATTCTTCAGATAGGATAATTTATACTGATTAAGTTTACTGATTATTTCATATGCTGAGCCATTCTAGTGAATTTTTCACTTCAGTTATTGTACTTTTCAGCTCCAGAATATCTATTTGGTTCTTAAAAAAAATTTTTTTTCTATCTTTTTGTTGTGATTTTTTTATTCATGAAGTTATTGTGCTTTCTTTTAAATCTTTCAACATTGGGGCACCTGGGTGGCGCAGTCGGTTAAGCGTCCGACTTCAGCCAGGTCACGATCTCGCGGTC